AGCACACACATAGCACGTAGCACACACACAGCACACACATAGCACAAACATAGCACACACATAGCACACACATAGCACACACATAGCACACACATAGCACACACATAGCACACAGCACACAGCACACACATACCACACATACCACACATACCACAAACATACCACACACATAGCACGATAGTGCACACACATATAGCACACACATAGCACGATAGTACGCACACACACAGCACAGACCTGTTCGTAAGAGGCAAAACACCTGCACCACCATAGTACAATAGTACACACACTTCTGGCACAGAGCTGGCAGAGGCTTCCATGGGCAACTGTGACCTGGACACCCGTGAACGATCAATCATACTTGTGTTCACCATAGGACCCTTTGTGATGTCTGGCATCAATCACTACTATAATACTATTGTCCCTCTGTCGCCCCCGGCGTTTGCACAGAAAGATTGCGGTCACCTCCATTAATGGCAGAAAGAATGTCTGCCGACACAAGCCCTGTTCAATCATCCGATCGTTTTCGGACACCCACGGGCATCTGGGAGTCGGGATAACGGCGACTGAAAAACCTCGCATTCTATAGCAGGACATCTCAAGCCTCTGGAATCAGACACAGCATCTGTCGTCTCTTTGCCAAGCTATCCATCACTCGCGGCTCCACGTGCTGAAAGCAGGGGTGATGCCTAAGCAAGCAAGGATTTTGGTACAAGCGCTCTACCCCAAAACCTGCCTCTTGTGAGCCAAATCATTCCCTGCCTCTTCTGCACACCGATGTCCTTACCTCTCTCTCTCTCTCTCTCTCTCTCTCTCTCTCTCTCTCTCTCTCTCTCTCTCTCTCTCTCTCTCTCTCTCTCTCTCTCTCTCTTTCCCTGTTCCACCGGCAAGTCAAATATTTAAAATAAAAACACCCTCACGCTTCCTTCCGTATGGCGGAAGGACCCCTGAACAGCACTGATTGCTCCAGCAGGGTGCAGGATTGACTGTCAGTTTGCCTTGCCACTACCTTTCATCTCAGGTCCCATTGTCTGAAGCTGTCATATTTATTTATCGTGAAACGGTGAAAGCAAGAAAGCGATAGAAGATGAGGAAAACCCAATCTGAGAATTTGCAAATTTAAAGCCGTTTGTTACGGTATATGGTAAGTAGAAAACGAGTGAGGTTCAGCGAATCTTCAATCTTCTTGCAGGGAAAAAAAGGTAGACCCATGCACGAAGTTGTTGAAGTATCTGGAAATCCATACGGTGAAAGATTGCAGAGCATTCTGGTAGCCGCGTTTTTTGTCAGGACAGCAGCTGCACCCTGCCTCGCCTTTTCGGGATTAAAACCACCAGGTACGTTCCCATATATCGGCTGGGAACCCCTCACCACGGCTTTCAGAGGAGGCTGGAAACGCAACAACTTGAAAGGCCGCCGATGAAATTCATCGACGGCGACCCGGCCCCGAAAATTGCGGCGGTTAACAAGCCGCATATTTGGTTTTCAAGCGGGGAAAGGTACTGGTGGTTTAAGGATATATATATATATAGATAGATAGATAGATATCTGCAGTTGATGAGGCACTACAGAAACCGATGTTCTCTTCTTCCTTTCTATCGCTTGAGCCTGGCCGGAGAGGCTGGCTCCTACCGAAGGGCCACCACTTTTCCATATAGCGTCGTTCCCGGCTTATAACACTAAAGTTTTCAAGGTGAGAAACAGAAAAAGAAATGGTACACACATGTAACTGTCAGTTAACAGAAGGCATGAAGCGTAATTTTACGCTGAAGAATCAATACTTAGACAATTGACCCTTACACTTTATTTACCACTAGCCACAAGTCATCCCCTGTATTTTGCCACATGGCATATATCTCATTTTTTTGTTTGTTTGTTTGTTTGTTTGTTTTAAAGCTATATTCTTCTCTTAATTTCCCCTCACACTACCTACCTACCACTACTCCTAATTGTAGGCATACGGGGAACCCCGTAGCATCCAGAACCGTGTTCACGAGAGAACATGCGGGGGCTGCTCCCGACCTGCAGGTGGGCAATACCGGCTAGGGGACAACCGGTAGCATCAGGGACCATGCCAACAGGACCAATCCCTGTGCCTCCGCTCAGGTCCCCTCCCCTACGAACATCAGCAGGCTCTGCTCAATGTCGATCGGGGGATCCAGTGGTCTATCTCTAGGTGGCAGGTGCCAAGCATGCCCAGGAAGGTACATGAAGCCAAGGGGGATTGAACCCACGACCTCCTGAATGGCACTTGCGAGCCTTACCAACTGAGTTAGGCCGCTGAATTTTGTTTGTTTGTTTGTTTGTTTGTTTGTTTGTTTGTTTGTTAGTTATAGATTTTCCCCACAACAGCCCCGATTTCACCGAGATGAATAGATTCAGAATCAAAGCAGTCTTTGTCCTATTGCAGACAACGAGAGCATTTGAGATGAAACACAGTCCAACATATTAAAGCAATTCTATAATTACTAATTAGACAGTTTTTTGGTTTTCCTTGGGGTACCCCGTCCATTTGTTCTTGCAGCTCCTCTTTTTCTGTGCCTCTTACGTACAAGACTGCCCACGTTGATTGTGGTTGAGCGGCAGCTGCCCATATCCCCGTGTGCCTTCACGGCCCACTTGCACGTTATTTCAGGAGGCAGAGTAAAAAAGGGAAGGTATGCTCCTGTGCTTTTTTTCTCTTCAGGCCTTCATACTCTTCTGTTCATTTCACTTCAGATCTTCAGCTTATACTTGGTCGTTCTGTCCGTCCTTCATCTTCATACTTCCGTTCATTTCATTTCTGATCTTAATATCGTCTGTTCTCTTAACGATGCTCATTCGTATGTCTTTGTTAGTAGCACAAAGGGAGTGGAGGGGAGGGTGGAGGGAAAGGGATTGTTCTAAACATTCACCGCTGGAACAGACTACTCTAGAATGGCTCAGGGTTGGGAAAAAAAAATTGTTGGGTTGAGCAGTTAATGCCTATGGCAAGTGGCCACCCCTACAGACCGGACAGGACCGGTTCGGGTGTGGACTATGGAAGCACAACATCCAATTTTCGCAGTCACAGTTGCTGCATCGAATGGTGCGGCGCAGACAGATGCCAGAGGCTACATGGCTCCTACATGATGGGAACACAGAGGCACGTCGACCGCAATTATAGAGGCATTGCCGTTCCAGCCCCTGTCTACAAATTGGACATGACATGTCAGGGTGCCGTACATGAATACAGTACTGACGGTCATCGTACGTATGGAAGCAAAAACTCGCATGGACTATCCCTTCATAATCCTCACGGCACAAGGCATGCTAACCACATGCTAGTTGAATCTCCGGCAGGTCATCACAAAGCCGCATGGAGCATCTTTCTTGGGCTTCCTCAGTATTCATTCCTTCTCTATGGGCAGACAACGACAGGGAGGATCGGTCCAAAGCAAGGGCATTCAGCTGCTGCAGGATTTGGTCCGCAACAACTTGCCCTGGTGGTGAGCAGATCGCTCTGCCGGTGGTTCATATAGAAGTCTATTTTCCTCCGCGGACTGCTATATCTGTCGTTCGCCTGGCAAGAAAGAGGGAGATCCGTCAGCGGTTGCCGTAGGTGTATGACCAACACCGCATGTGGGACATGCTAGGAGAGGATGTGGAGGGTGATGGCACCGGGGATAGTCCACGCAGTAAGACACATACTTTCTATGACAGATTCCTGGAAGCATTGACGACACATGGCATGTTGCTGACATGTCATTAGTATGGAAGGCTGACGTGCACAGTTATTTAAGCATGGCAGATCAAGGCCACAACAGCATGCTGGGCAAGTAATCAGGAGAGGAGGGGGGGGGGGATGAGCACAGGACAGGGGATCACAGTTTTTGTGTGAGAGGCTAGCAGTGTTCAGAGCAGAGGCTATGCCATGTACATGCCAACCGAACTGCACCTGTGCGACGACACTGTTTGTGGTAGAATCGGCCGGATTGCTCTCCAGGGGGTGCAGTGCTTGCAAGTGCTCATCAACATACTGTTCCTGATGGACGAGCCAGACTCAGTGATCCTCCAGCATTTGGTGATAGAAAGAGATAATATTTCCCACTGTGTGCACCCTACCGCCATTGTCCCATAGGGTCCATGAATTATCTGCAAAGGTAAGAGCACTGAAATGACCTGGACGATATAAGATATATGCCCGAATATTTGGATCCCTGCCTGGCACGTGGTTTTGTGGCCAGCTGGAATTGCAGTCGCCTACCCATAAATGCCATAGCCAGGACTTCTATGTTCACACCAGGTGCAGCGCTGTCGTCCTCTGGGCAGACAACACGGTGCTCTTCTCCTATCCAGCGAACAACGTCTGCGAAATCAGAAACAGTAGAAGGATTACAATTGTAAGCAAGGAGACATACACTAATGGCATAGTACGCACAGGGCCCTCGCTGTAGCGCTATGACATTGTCTGATTCCACAGGTTGCATGGGGGATCCGTTCACGGCAGGGGGAGACTCGTTCGATTCTGCGGGTTGCACTGGTGGTGGAGACTCGTTGTGGTCTTGACCAATTGGCTCCGGTATGTGCTCCGGAGAGAGATGATCTTCAACTGGGGGCTCCATCAGGTAATCAGGAGACGGGCCATTGTCATTTGGGGGAGGGGAGCAAGCGGGGCTGGGTGGATGAGAGAGGGGCGGGTCAGTTGGGTGAGAACTGGGTGGAACAGATGTGGGAATGGGAAGCTGATCAGCCGCACTTGTGCTCAGGGTGGCTGCTAGCCATGCAAACGCTGCACAAGTAGCTGCACCTCGTGTCTGGTGGACTCACAAGCCTGCAGCACTGAAGAAATCATCGCCACATTGCGGGCATCGGATTCGATGTGCACTATTCCTCACTAGTGTATATTGAAAGCGACGATGTCATTCTGTACGGTTTTTCGAGCATGTCGTCGGAGCAGATCTCTAACCCCTGCAGGGGGCGTGGTGATCATGCCATTCAATGACAATCGAAGCTGCTGTCTTGGAGGCTGCGGTGGAGACGGGGAACGTCTCCGCCAAAGAGGCATCTGTAACGATCTATCTGACAGCGGATGCCTCGGCCGACAGGGCCTTTGTGACGGCCGATCTGACCATGAATGCGTTGATGATGAGGTCAATGATGAGGAAGTACGGGAGGGAGGGGAGGAAGAGGAAGAAGAGAAGAAGTAGGGAAAGAGGAAGAAGACGAAGAGGCAGATGACTGAGAGGATGCTGCGCTAGAGGACGTCGGTGGGGGTGGCGGTGCTGATGGTGGTGGTGCTGCTGATGAAGATGGCAGAGATGGCGGTGGTGGTGGTGGTGGTGTGTGTCAACATCCCCAAACTCTCTCTCTCTCTCTCTCTCTCTCTCTCTCTCTCTCTCTCTCTCTCTCTCTCTCTCTCTCTCTCTCTCTCTCTC